ATATACCCACTTTACTTTTGCCCTCACTTTATATCCATGTTGTTGCTGTGCTCAAGGAGCTGGCTGAACCTTGCAAGCTGTCTTTTTAAGAAACTACCAAAATCGTGTCTTTGGGACATGGGAATATAGCCTAGAAGTACTTCAATAGCAGACTGCATCAAGACAGCATCCTGTGCCTCATTAGGCTGTTAGGGTTGTATTCTACTCATATCAGCCAAAAGACTCTGTTGTTACATAGTGACATCGCCAGAATTATACAAGCAACTCTGATATTTAACGAAGATTTTTTAAAAGGCAAAGCCTCTAAAAAAAGAACTGCTGGAAACCGGAGAACCTCTCTGCTCCCAAGCAGGCTGGAGAGAGTTTAGTGTCATCTCAGAAAAAAACAACCACACACCCACACCCCTCTCCCCCCAGAAAAGACACTTTCATCTTGGCAGCAATGTTATCTCAGGAGCTCCTAGATATGCAAGAATAATTCTGATCTGGAAATGGCACCACAGTTCTCAAACAAGCTGAGGGTACACCAACACTTCAGCTCAGAGACATGAATTCACCTCCTCTGGAGAAGTCTGTGATTTACTCAGCTTGAGTCACACTCTCAGCGAAGCCACAAGAGCGCAGTACTGAGTCTTGTGTTATTCTGGTGAATACATTTTACGGTCCCAGCTAGGTTTTGTGGCCATTCCGGCAACAGAGTTTAATGTGTCAACATCAACAGCAGTAACACTTTTTCGCTCGAAGCATAGTCATACCAAGGCGTAACTATTATTTCTTAAGAACTTATAAATACTGATCTTCAAACAGAAAGTGCTACTCAACCCCTCCTTCTTGGCAGTTCCTCCTTTTTCATTGCATTCTCCCTTTCTCAGACGGCTCATCCACCCATGTGCTGTTATTTGGCTCCTCCTAGGGTGTAGTAGACATGCCAGTGCAACCTGGGTGTGCTGTGTGACCAGATGAGACAAATTCCACCCACACTGTATGAGATGCACTCTTGGATGGATGACTCCAAAGCCGTCCACCATTGGCTTGCAAGAATGGCACAGAAATACCTTGGCATCCTGAGCAGAGTTTGGATTTCAATTACAAACAGAAATGAATGCTGTTCTTGATTGTCATGTTCATCCAGGCTAGTCAGGAAGAGATTTTAGTCACGTTTGTAAAGAAATAATCCAAAGTCAATTCATGGAAGTTTTTGTAGATACATTTGAATGTCTTTTTTTTTTTTATGATGTTATGATAAAATTATGTGCTTGATACAGATAAAAATATTTTGTGCTAATTTAGTAAATGAGTTTGATGACTGTTCATGTACAATGGATCCATATGTGCCACAGCAGTTCTGTGATTTGTCATACAAGGCATCTGTGCAAAGGTAGTCCATATGTCATGCTAAATTTGTTTGTCATAGACCCATTTGTCTCAGAATATTTTCCTATACCATATTTAGGGTAGATTTAGATTAGATATCAGGAAAAAAAAAATCACTAGGAGAGTGGTGAGCCCCTGGCACAGGTTGCCCCGAGAAGCTGTGGCTGCCCCATCCCTGGAGGTGTTCAAGGCCAGGTTGGACGGGGCTTGGAGCAACCTGGGCTGGTGGGAGGTGTCCCTGCCCTGCCCTGGGACATGGAATCCCAGGATCCCTGAGCAAAATAATCCCAGGATTCCATGTGGAATGAGATGGTCCTTAAGGTCCATTCCAACCCAAACTATTCTATGATTCTATGATTTGTACTGGTAATAATGGCTGTGAATATTTTAAGTTAGTAAAGCACATGAAACTCCCATTATAAGGGAAAAAAACATTAAGACGGCATCTGGTTGCCACTTTGTGGGTCTGTAAAATTACAGAGGCAAAGCATGGGGCTGTAACCCTGAACATCATGAGTCAAAAGAAGCAGTTTGGAGTGTCAGCAGTATTGATAGCAGTATGTAGCTCCCTTTGCCCTATCAGGAGGGCAGGACGGTTAGAAAAGGGATGCATTTCCAAGAATTACGTGATTCATCTGTAGGTTTCTGTAGGTATACGTCATCACTGTCATCACCTGCTTCCAGACAAAGTGAAACCAGGTGTGGTTCGGGCAGGAGGAGTAGACCTGGTGGGTTGTTTCCCCACAACATCTTCTTCCCTTTGTTTCTATTCCTGTTTCTTGTTTATGTGAATCGTGTACCATGAAGTATCAGCAGCTTTAAAGGGCGTCTCCGAAGGCATTGCTAGGAAACATCACTGAAGGAAATCCCAAGGCGGCCCCGGAAAAGAGGTTTCCTCAACCTTCTTGCGTGGGTCACCCGTACAGCATTACGCTGCAGTTTTTGTGACAGTTACCAAATGACAATGGACAAACTGGAATAAAATTAACATTTGGAATAGAAGTCTCAAGATTACTCAAAATGGGGCATTCAACCTTAAATTCCTTAGAAGGGGATGGATTTTAGAGGGGAAGAACTCATCTACTTGACGTTAAATAGGTGTTTGTAAATTATGTCAATTTGGATACACAAAATGAATATACCCCATTGAAAACAGTTTTATCCGTAAATAACTGAATATCTGAAGAGAGGGTACTGGATCTGAGGAAGAAATCTGCTGAAGTAAGTGGCCAATCTTCTGCATCAGCTGAAACTGCACATTCAGATTCCAGCCCAAGGTTTCCCTAGGGTGATGCATGGCTTCACTTCCTGACCTGTTTCATCCCAACCCATGAATCGTTCATCACTCAGGAGGCCCAAGATCCTCAGCAATGATCCCATGGCATCCCTGACAATGAAAGCTAGATGGGAATTTCCATTATCTGAGGCTCCTGTCCCCCCACGCCAGGGCTGGATAACAGCAGCTCCCTGCTTATAGGATACTCCACATGTACTTTTAAAGTTTGAAGTGTGATGTGTGTTTTGTGTTTGTTTCTTGGCCCCAAACGCTTCCCATTTCCAAACCCGTAACTCAGTAGGAAGGTGTCCGTGGAGTCTAATGTGCCTCATATCAGAGTCATAGGAATTAATGTGCGTGGGTATGATGGGATAAATTGCACAAGGCCCCCTTACTGCAGCATGAGTTGGAAAAGTGGGGCAGTATCTCAGGTATGTCAGCATATTGTGTTTACGGATAAACTTGTGAGTAATCTTTGCTCCATGAGGCAATCAGAGAAATAGGAAAAAAGCAATAAAAGAAAAAAAAATTACTCTGCCAGAGTAATGACAAGAACGCAATAGTAATCACCGTGGCTGAGCAAAATAATTGCATTATCTGGGGCAGTTACAGGTGGAGTGAATTTTTGTTTGATAATGCATTAGAACATCATACATGAGGAATGTTTCATACCCTCCTGATTGCCTAAGAAAACACATAAAAGCGCTCACAGTTCTGGGCTGCTCTAACCATTTCTCCTGACTTGCTCTTCGCTGTGAGAGGGTAAGTCTGAGCCTGATGCTATTGCTATTCATATATTGCTGTAACAAGGCAGGATTTTAACTGAAACAAAACTGTCATACTTAGAAATGGGTGAAAAGTTTGAAGCTTTCTGTCAGGAAGAGCAGTTTCTTACTTGTTCAGTGGCAGGCTGTGAAAGGGCAGGAGAAGGCTTTTCAGAGCAGCTGAAAGTTTGGGATACACAAACTTATTTATAATGAGATTTAGTGAATTCTTATTTCCTCCAGCCTGACTGTCCTGCCTTTATGTATCTGCCTTTACTTGCATTGACTTGTAATGGTGACTACCAAGAAAAGTTAATTCTGACTCTCAGACAGAACTAGGAAGCCACCAGTAGTGATAATGTTTTGTCCTGTTCTTTGCAATTATTTCTGAATTAATTTGAAGCCTGTCATGCATTATATCATGTACTTGTTATGGTCAGGACTTTGTTCCTTTCGAGGCCAGGTTGGACAGGGCTTTGAGCAACCTGGTCTAGTGGAAGGTGTCCCTGCCCAGGGCAGGGGGGTTGGAATGAGATGATCTTCAAGATCCCTTCCAACCTAAACCATTCTGTGATTCTAATTACAATATTCATGACTGAGTTTTATTCCCAGCCTTTTATTTTATGAGGTTTAGCAAGACAGGACAGAGATCAAGAGGAGCTGCAAATTGATTTTATGAGTGATCAAATAATCTTATGATTAACGAAAAGGACTCCATAAAATTATGCACAGTTCCTTCTTCTGCCAGTCATCTGTCACCTCGGCCATCTTTAGCAGTTCCACATTCACAGGAGTCCTAGTTACACAGGAAACCTCACTGGCACTGCATTCCCACCCGAACGTGGGGCATTCTGCCAAGCAAACTCCCCTTATGAGCTCTTCAGGGATGTGGCTGATGCTCATTTTATCTTCCTACGGAACATGCAGGGGAGCCCACGTGCCAGCTGTAGCATCTGAAAGATTGGGGAATAACGCTGTCATTAACAACCAGGCTTGCCTGAATTTTAACTCCGTCTCTCCGGTTTCCTCACCAAATGGCTCCGGGCAATGCATTCACTTCTAACCCTCAGTTACCTCTTCCTTAAAGCTGGAACAACAATGAATTGCCTCATACAGTTGTACTGATTACAGGTGGTGCAGAGCCAGTGCAGGATGTTACTGTGCAAGTGCTAGCTGGTGTTTCCCTTCTTTTCTGCAGCTATTTATAAAAGAAAAGGTCAAGTGTCCCAGTAAGTCCAACTCAAAAGGGAGGGAATGGTGGAACGGAGAAATGGTAAAGGACAGGGGGACAGCTTGAGTTCAAATACACCATTTCTTTGATTGTTAATGATGCTTTTATGTATTAAATTAGCTGTATAATTAGGAGACAAAAGAAATGGAGATTGTTCTGGGGGAGAGGAGGAGGTATCAGAAGATGAGAAAAGGGACATGGCTGCTGAGACAGAACTGAAATCTTCAGCCTCCTTCTGTCTTCTTGCTATCTTTCATTCTTTTCCAAGAGCAATCTCCATTATATTGGTATCTGAGCTTTCAACCTTCTGTTGCATTGGTATTGTGTGTTTCAGATTTATCTCCATTCCCAGAAGATGTCTTCCTACAGACAGATGATCAGCTCCCGCTGCCTTACCCCCTGTGAAGTGACCTGCCCGCAGCCCATCGCAAATGCCTGGAGCCAGCCCTGTGTTACATCCTGTGGCGATTCGAGAGCTGTGATCTACCCACCACCTGTGGTCATGACCTTCCCAGGACCCATTCTCAGCTCTTGCCCTCAGGAGAGCATCGTGGGCAGCTCAGCACCATCCAGCATTGGGAGCTTTGTTGGATCCGTGAGCTCTCTGGGTCCCAGTGGCTCCTATGGCTCTAGGAGCTTGTACAATTATGGGAGGGCATATTCTTCCTATGGATCCAGTGGTTATGGGTTTGGGAGCTGCAGACCATGTTAAATACGCAGTGAATAAGGAGCAAGGAGCAATCACCCAACACAGAGGAAGATGTGCCTCCACGACCCTGTTACTGCCACTCCTTTCCTGGAGCATGAACTGTGCATCGCTGAAAATCATACTTACATGTAATTCTCAAGCTAACGGTTTAATTTAGTTTTCTGACTATTCTTTCCAGTGGCTCCTGATAATAATGGCCTCAAATTAGTTATAGCAATGATCTTGGGCTGGCTGAAAGTGGGACGAGATTGTGTAAGCTTCCCATGCCATGGAGAAGAAAGAGTAACGTATGTGGAATGTATAGCCCCAGAGCAATTCTTTGCTCACAGCCTCTAATGAGACCCTGGCAATATTTTCCCTGTGTTTTTCATTCTCAATAAGATCTTTTACTTCTTACCTTCTCATTAAATCATTATGCATCAAAATTCTGAACTTTCTTGTCTTTTTTCATCCACCATTTTTTGTTTATAAACCATTCTTGGTGAGCCTCAATCTCTGTAGTGAAACATGACAGAGCGTGTTTTCTTTCGATGCCTGGAGTTGGAAGGTGACCAGGTCTTTTAAGCAGGAGCAGACATAATGACTGCTTTCTGCACAAAAGCAATTCCATGCTGGATAAACATGTTTTGTAACCCTTGCAATAAAGTTTGAAATTTCCTCCAGGACAGGTGTGGTTACAGTGTGTATTTGGTACACGCCAGCAAAGAAAGTTAAACAGAGAAGTAACTTTGAAGATCTTCCCCGTGTCTCACTACTTGCCCAAGGCTCCAATTTAATTACTGCTACCCCATACACTGGGCTTGTGATAGTTTTCATTGTTTAAAAATAGCATGTAACACTCTGTGGGTAGAACTTTCCTTTGAATAGCCAACAGAAATTCTTAACTGGATGGCAAATCTTTGCTGAAATTCTGTGAGTTTTTTTGAACTTTCCCATTGATACCTTTAAATTCTTGGCAGCCCCAGTTAAAAATAAGTAGAAGAATAATTCCTAAGACTACCCTGCAGAGCAACACATGTCATTCAGGCCAAATAATATTTTCCATCTCAGAAATTTTACACCTAAATTTTGGACTACTCACAGATGACTGTGGATACTGGGCATGTTCAGCACTTCTCTTTGTTCAACAGCAAGGTGGTTCCAGGCTGTCCAGTACCTCCTGTAGAGCTGTTTTTCCGAGTGGTGCCATTTCAATACAATTAGCACGGCTGTTAAGAGGCATTTACCCCCTCCTACGCTTGCAGTGCCAACCAGGACTCTGATGGACCAGACATCAGACACTGCTCAGCACTTCTGCTCTTCCCTGTCTGAGGCTGCTGGCCCTCGGAATACCAGCTACTCACTGACAAACTTCACAGTGCTGGAGCAGGCTCATTCCAGGCAAATCCCTGTCTCACCCTGCAGAAATTTGTTTGGACGGGATCAAGTATGTGGTAATAACTTCAAAGGGTTGGGAGGTGTGACTTCACTTGTAAAACTAGCTGAAAGGAGATGAGGCTACAGTGAGGTAGCCAGGCAACACCTCTTGCTTGTTAGGATGTGTCTGAAGGCTTTGCCTTTTTTTTTCATGCTCCCTCTGTCTCCATCGCATTGTGTGATTATTCTTGGAGTCAGCACGATGCTGTCAAAAAAGCAGTACTTATTTGTGCATGTGTGCGAAGCACTAAAGCAACCGGACCAGATATTTTCAAGACACATCACTACGGTGTGGATCACTATAGAGGTCCTCTTTTTGAGATTTTTGTTTTCATCCCACACAGGACTGCAGAATTACATTGATCCTTTTCTCAGCCCGTCTTGTTGCACCCCTGCACTGGACTTGCACTAGCAGCAGGTTTCTCCTGCTGTGGTGGAAGAGTGCACGTGGACATCCTTCAGTGTGGGTGTTGTCAGCAGACCTGGATGACACTGCTCTGCCCACGAACTTGTTATACTACAGAAAAGGCACGCATGGGAGCTAGAAGTTAGAGGCCAGACTATAAATAGATCCCTGTATTAATTGATCAATAGACTCTAATGACTTTGAATGGTGCTTGAAGACATAGCTCTCCACAAACACCGTTATTTGGTAAAGTGACCTGCAGAGACCGTCCCTTGGAGAGCAGGAACTGCAAAACTTGCATTGCTGGTTCTCATCTGCCAGCCTGAATTTGCATGTTGTGACCATAGACCAGAGCAAACACCAAAGGATGGTTCTTTAATTGCCTTCCATTTTTCTGTACTGCTCCTGACCATCAGCCATCTGCCACTTCCCAAACGCCCAGCAGGCTGAACTTGGCTTACACTTTCATGTAAGTGTAATCACAGATGAACACAGTAGAAGAGAAGAGAACCAATTTCACTGTCAGACCCAATGCATCTCAGGTCACACCAGATGTAGGTATGAGATGGAACACCAACTGCTGTTTATCACCATCACAGAATCACAGAATCACAGAATCACAGAATCACAGAATCACAGAATGGTTGGGTTGGAAGGGACCTTTGGAGATCATCTAGTCCAACCCCCCTGCCAAGGCAGCTTCACCTAGAGCAGGTTGGACAGGATTACATCCAGGTGGGTTTTGAATATCTCTAGAGAAGGAGACTCCATCATAATCTGGAAGCAGTGCTGAGATTCCTATGGTTTGTTGGCCGCTGCAACACAGGGGTCACACAGAATCACAGAATGGTTTGGGTTGGAAGGGACCTTTAAAGGTCTTCTTATTCACATCCGCCCAAAAAAGAGCAGGGACATCTTCAACTAGATGAGGTCTAACTGTGAGGTCTCCTGCAGTTTTTGGTCAGCCATGGGAAGTCCAGGTTGTTGACAGTTAGCACCCACAGGTCAGACTCCCGTTCCTCCTGTCAGAGAAGCAAGTAATCACCAAGAACAGGAAGCAACAATAAATTAAATCACACCGTCTCACGTTGAACTATAGAGGTCACTACGCTCTCCTTTCTCTTGTCTCAGTGTGCTCTGAGCATGTGTTTATATCCCAGTACAAGGTAACGCTATTGGTAAATGAGATGCAATCAGAAGCTGATTCATAAAGATGTTGTAAACACAGCCTGAAGTATACGTCCTCCCCACGCACTAAATTACCATTCAAGACAGACATCTGTGGGAGTTAAGCCTTTCACGGTGGATTTAAATAGGTGGGTTCACTAAATATTTAGTCACTACTGGAGCCTAGTGGTTTTTTATATGGTTCAGACTCACACCACTGGTAAATAGCCTGCAGGCACAGTGGCTCAACATAACAGAAACAGAAATATGCCCTGCTGGGAGCCGGCTTCCTTCCAGAGTTTGATTCTGGGGGAATTAGCAAAGTGACTACTTGCAGGCTACCTTTTATCAGTTTTGCAACTGGAGGATCCGAACTTGAAAGTTTCAGATGTTTTAAATAAAATGCTCTATCAGAGAAACTTAAAGAAAATAATCCTTTTTTTGCTCATTCTCCCTTTTTACTCAGAAAACAAATTATAATAAGCCATGTCATGAATCCTTTGGTCACTGTTTTTTGGAAGTGCTCATGGCCAGGTTGGATGGGGCTTTGAGCAACCTGTTCTAGTGAAAGATGTCCCTGCCTGTGGCCGGGGGGCTGGAACTAGCTGACTTTTAAAAGTTCTTTCCAACCCAAACCTTTCCATGATTCCATGATTCTATGATCCGTTAAATTTGCAATGTCCTGCATACTACTGGTCATGCCATGTACAGTCTTTCAGCTAAAATAAGCAAAAGTCCATGCAAACATGTTGATTTGACTGGTTATCTCATTTTCAGTGTTCTGTCTGAAAAAAAAAAAAAGGATCTTTTCAATTTTAAACACCATCATTATTGACTCATACATAGCAGTGACAGTACTGACCCAGATTCCTTTTTCACCTGGGGAAAATACTTAGTAATGTTTTTATCAGTGTGGAAAGCACGGCCTTTAATCTCTGTATAAAAGATGCTATCTGTAAAAAAAGGGAAAAGAGCAATTATGCTCATGCTTTGCTTGTCTTGTCTATTTACTCTGAAAGCACTTGTGGGCAGGGATTGGCTTTATTCTTTGTTTGCGCAGCACTGAACGTGCCTCATTTGCAATTTGAACTGGTTATATTACTAGAAGCTTGGAAGCACTGAGTCTCTGCTGCTCCTGAAACTTTCTGGACTACAGTTATTTCTTAGAGGGAACAGAGATTATTCCTCTTCCTTACTGGGGTGGAAAGGCTGATGACTGCAAGGAGGAATAAGAGCAACGTGTTCGCTGCTTGGGATGTCTGGAGTTTAAGTACCACTGAGCGCTGTCAGCGCTGTATATTGAGCATTGTATCTGTGAATTTATAGGTGCAAATTTACATTTGGAAAGTACTCTGCTGGGCACCACCTCTGTGGCATTTGTGGTCATGCTGAGCTCACCATGGAAATCCGCAATTCTTTGGATGCTCATGGAAAGGCCCCACTGAAATCATGTGTCAATAACCGGAGTTATACTTTGCTATTTTAGATTTTTCATACATTCAAAGGGTGGAAAGCTGCTACTCAGGAGTGTCGTTAGGGAAACATTTGTGACACTGTGTAAATTCAGTCTGTGCTAAATGTCCTGCAGTACTGCTTATCACCCAGGACAGGCTGTGGATGAAGGGAAGAAGGGAAACCAGAAGGATGCTGTGTGATGCAACAAAACTTTAATGAGCAAGAAATGTTGATGTTTGCAAAGCGAGATATCACAGAGTATGAAAAATCTGTTTCCAGTCCATTTTAGAGAATGTTCAACAAATGTCCTGCTCAGAGGTATTGCTGTCCTCAGCTGGCTTTCTTCTGTCTGCTGTGCGACTGCTGATGAAGATACTTGTCATTACAAGTGATGTCTATATGGAACAGGCTGTCCCATGATGGTTCAAAAAAAAAAAAAATGGGAAAGCTGGAACAGGCAACAATAGAAACTGAAGGGTAAACAAAAAGTAGAAGAAAGATCAGAAATGCTAAGTGGCAGTAGCTCCACTGCAGGGCTGCAGGAACGCTGAGCCCCCATCCTCATTGCTCTGCGTTTGGGTCTTCACATGTGGCTCTTCTGAGACCTCTCTTCTGCCTTTAGCAGGGTCCACAGCTGCTGCGGAGGAACCGGCTGTACCGGCGGGAGGAGTACGGGCTGCAGTACCCGCTGCCAAGCGTGGAGAGGGCTGAACTTCCATAACCATACTGGGCTCCATATCCTAGAGAACCCCCGGAACCGTAGAGGCTCCCAGCGCTGTAGAGGCCCCCCAGCCCCAGGGAGCCCCCAAAAGCGGGCGCTCCGGAGGACCCCACCACAGCTTGCTGGGGGAAGGAGCTGAGGATGGGGCCGGGGAAGGTGACCACCACGGGGGGCGGCTGGATGAGAGCCGTGGAGTCGGGGCACTGACGGACACATGGCTCGTTACAGCTGTTAGCGATGGGCTGGGGGCAGGCGATGCTGCTGGTGGTGGGGCACAGGTCGTAGCAAGACATTTCTTTGCAGGGATGAAGGCGATCCTGAAACACAGAGCACAAAGCTGCTTAAAAACAAAGCCCAAGATCTACCAGAACAACAGGTCACCATTTGGTGCTGGGCTGTTGGGGAACATGCAAAATGATCACCAGATGCATTAGCAAAATTGATGATGCTGTTCACAAACTTTCCTGTCAATCAGCATTGCTGTGATCTTCCCCATCCAGTAATCCCTGCATGTGTCACATCTGCCAAACCTTCTGAAATTGCTGCTTTTTTTTTTTCATTCATGTTCCCTCCCAGAGGAACAGAGTGTTGGCGGCACATTTTTTACTAAAACGCCAGTGCTCCTCCCTGGTGAATGTGGTTTGAAAGCCAGGAGCTGCAGGAACTACACTAGAGCTGACCTCCTCGTTACACCAAATGGGACAGAAGCAGTTGCTCTCTTGGGAGACATGGCATGGAGTCAAGAACTCGGCACTGCTTTAACCACACATTCCCTCCTCCTTTCCCGACCCTGTTTTTTTCCAAGCTTTTTGGGGTAATTTACTTCCAGTTTCTCCCTTTTAGTTCTACGTTCACTTAATCTCTGTAATCCCTCTGGTAAAACCTCCAAAGCATTTGAGGCCGAGGATAGATTGATATACTTGATGTAATAAGTAAACATACCCTATAAATTATTTCTATCCAAATATTTCTTGGCATAGGAGTGCCATTTCAGAGTGTGGAGCAGGTCAGTAAAATTTAAGGAGCCGATTTCCCTCATCAGAAAAAAATAGAGTTTGCAAACTAACATTTCAGCTAAATGCCTGGTCACAAAAGCTTGTGGCTTAGTACTTTTTCCAGTAAAAAGGGGAAAATATTATTTTGCTCACAAGGCAGCCCTGAAATGCAGAGAATGAAATAATCAAACTCAGTGTATCTGAACAGCTAACCTGGATCTGGATTTACAAAGGGACATATGACAAACACACTGGATCAGACCACCGGTCTACTTCCCATATCACTGCCTCTGGTGAAAATAACTAGGGGTTTAAAATAAACAGGACTTAGTTTTTACCTAGCCATAAAAACTAAATACAAGCTAGGATTATTCTGCAATAAAATTCCCATGTAGATAATGCTTTTTCTTCAGCTGAGTCATTAAACAGTTTAGGATATGGCTGTGTATCTCTGATTCTGTCATTAACTGAACTGGTACAGGAGGATTCTGCATTTTAAAGCTTACACCATCCTACATTTTCAGTCTGTTAACAGTAAACGAATGCCCAAATATGAATTACAGTGAAAGAAATGCCTTAAACCCTGGTCTCAACTCCAAAAGCCTACCAGTAACACAACTAGCCAACATACTGAAAAAAAAAAAAATAGAGAAAAAAGAAGATAATCCAAAAATAGTCTTAAAATTTAACCTCTAATGTAATAGCAGCACACAGTATCCTGAGCTCCAGCCCAAAGGCACTCTGGTGTTTAGAAAGAAATGAAACAGCATCAGACTTACCTGATGTAGAGGAGCGTACGCAGGAGAGGGAGATGGAACAGCTCTGCGTACCTGCTCCTTTTATCCCGTGCTTCAGCTCGCCGGGGGGGCCTGAGGCACACTGCGCATATGCCGTCATAATCACCGACCAGCCCAAATCTGAAACGCGTATAACTTCCCAAAGTGATGAAACTCTTTTCGCTTGCCGTTTGCAAAATCACCCTAAATCTCTGAATAGCATGATATGCACATTCCAGCTCCCAGTTCTCTTTCATCTTCAAGCCTAATTGACCAGCTTCGTTGCTGGTATCATTCCACCCTGCTCACTGGCATTGCGGGAGGAATTAAACTGGTTCTATTTATTTAGCACTTCCTTCATTAACTTCCCGTAATGATTTTAATCAGAGCTATAACCTGCTGTCATACACATGTTTGTATTTAAGTGCTTTAAATCTAGGCTGTAATCTAATCTACTCACGCATTTTGCAATGAAATATCCAGTGAGGTGGAAGACACCTTCTGATCCTTTTCCCACCCACAGCCGCAAAACATGAGAGAGGTCCTGTACCTGTGGTAATCATGGGCATTGTCTAATGGCCTTTGATTTTGAAACTCTGCATTTTCCTTGCTGCTTGGCAAGACCAGCAGAAAACAGAGTATTTCAGTACCTGAAATGGTGTTTAAACCAAAAGGGACACCAGTATTTTTCTCCTTGTTTTTCACCTGGAATCTGTAAAGGCACACAACGATCATCTTACAGGGTCAGCAATGTGGAGTGGCTGAAAATGCAAACAGACTGATCGTTACTAGCTATGCTGTATTGACATCGCACAGCTCTGAAGGAGGACATAGCACACGACAGTGGTGAAGCGGGTGCAAATTTCTCGGTTTCTTTGTGAAGTTATGTGTTTCTGTCCATCACTGCATTCATTCAGTCTGTATCTTCTCTTTCTTTTTGTTCATGGGATGAAGTGTAATTTGCCCTTAGATCTTCTCCTTCACCTTACAAAGGAATTGAACTACAGTTTTGCTGGAGGATGTCACAGAAACAATTTTTGCGTGTTTCTTCCCAGACTCACTGCATAAGTGGCAGGAAAAGCGATGGAATTATCCAAGGCATAGTTCTTACAACAATGAATTTAATTTTTTTTCTTTCTTTCTTTCTTTCCTGACTAGCAGCACATCACCAGCAGAGTGTGTATTGTTGCAGAGCCCAGTTTTCACTGCCAAGATTTCAAGTGACTTGTCATTTGAAATTACTCAGGCTTCCCCAATACTTAGTGGGGAGGGGCAAGAATTTCTGCAAGACAATTCATCCCATTTCAGATGCTTACCTTACCAGAATTGATGTCACCCTCAAAACATAACAATTTTGCTTTCATTGACTATGCAGACAGACAACAAGCTCAGCCGAAACACCCAGCTTTGAAACAGGGACGGTTTGATGAGGTGTGTCCCACTCATATTCCCATATTCTGAAATTCTGCACGATAAACAGTACCTCAGAAACCATCGTTTTCCTGTGAATCAGTTGTTTGTGAAATAACAAACACCGCAATATTTCTAACAGAAGTTACATTTAAATGCTGAGGTCCTTTTTTCCGGACTTTGTGATGGCCCTGGGGGGTAATAATACTCACAAAGGGTGTTCAAATATTTTTTGTGTGTGTTTTTAAGCACTTCCCAAACCCTCCTTAGAAGTTTACACATAAGTGGTGTGTCATTATTGTAATATAAGTATGTGGTTGGATTCAAGCGGCTCAGCATTTTGGAATATATTTATTAAATTGAACTGCTCAAGTGCACTCTTCCTGTTCCCTTTACCAGCTCAGGATTTTTAACCTTGTGATTTTCGTTGATTTTCTTTTGTAATTTAGATTTTCATTTATTTGTTTAAGTTTGTGTATAAGGTCCTTCAGTGCTGATGCGGTATTAATCCACATCTCCGTCAGTGTTTGTAGCACCAAGATCTGCAACATCTGCCTCTGTTCTCACATTTTGAAAGCTTTTCCAAGGACTTTCCTAGCCTAACTGTGAGCAGTCTGCCTTTCTGCTGTGTTTTAAACACACGCTCAGCTTCCTTAAAAAATACACTTAAGAAGTTGCCTGTAATCTGGCTAAGAAACTGTTTACCTTTGTTGTGACCAATGATTTTACCTCTAAAACGTGAAGAAACCGAACAACTGGGTAGTCTGGGAGACAAGGCATGGGTCCAGATGATTTTTAAAAGTTCTTTGCAATGTTTCTTTTGATTTTATTCCCATGAAAAGTGCAGGAGGGCCCTGTCCAGCTCTTAATTCCAACTTCGTATAAGGGTTGCTGATTTCACAAGAAAGACATCAAGTTTTGTATCTAGTACCTTTATCTAGCATGGGTAAGGAAGGATGGAAAGAAAACCTGCATATGAAAGCAGATGGCAATTATGATGAACATTTGAGCCACTATCATTATGTCAACCAATAAAGAAGAGGTAAATAAGTGAAGCCAGTGTAATTCCTCCTGTCATTCTAATGCATTTAATGGAACGTTACCAGGAATGAATCTTGCCAATTAAGGGCTAAGATGAAAGAAATATTTGTTTTGTAATTTGCATTTCATGCCGCGTGAGAATTTGAATCAAGTAATAAACATAAATATTGAGCAAAACTGTTTCATCATTTTGAGGTGAACCATGTGTGATAAATGTGGGCTGATGTTAATGGGAGTCTCAGGTTCTTCAGGCAGTTTGAGGAAATGTATAAAAAGTCCCTCCCGAAAGCTACCTTGTATTTACATCTCTTGCTGCCTTCTTCCCAGAGCCATCTGTTTTCTAGATATCAAACTGTTCTTTTTCAGTGAATTTAAGTTAGTCCTCTTTTGTCGTTTGTGAGGAGGAAACATTATATGCAGGGTTAAAGGGCTACGCTGGTATTTTCCACAAGGGGTTGTATAGGAGCTGCCTGTTCTCCACCAGTTCAAATCTCAGGGTTATAATCTCCTCGACAGATACCAAAACCCCCGTCTGTAGCCCTACAAACTGCTCTGTACTCTTGCACCACAACAGCCTCAGCTGCAGACATGGCTAACAGAGGAGATGTCCTCTTCATAGTTAATTACTTCATCTTCCAATTGTCTGAGGAAGCATGTAGCTTTCTATGTTCCCATGTTTCCACTAAGCAGTGATTAACCATCACTTAAAAATCATTTTTCTTACAGGGCTTATACAAATTTGAGGAATTACATCCACAGCAGCAGGTAGATCTTGGTGAGGTGGCTACAATTAGGTGGGATGGATCTGGAACTGAATTAGTGTTGCAGAAGATCCAGACTGCTGTGCCTTTCCCTGATCTCCATGAGATCTAAGCTTTACCTCCTGTTCCAGGGGAATTTGTGCTGTGTTACGCTTACACTTAGCCATGTTCCCAGTTGGCAAATTCATGTCCAGCTCAGCTGACTGCTCTGACTTGAGGGCAGTGGCTCAGTCACCATCATTTGTCATCACCAGGTGCTTAGTTCCTTCCTTCAGGACAGCATATTGGGATCTCTGTTAGCACCCATACTTAAGGACTCCTTTTGTTATGGGAGCTATTGTTATGGTAGTCTTTATCACAGTGGATTTTCTTACAGATTTTCAGGTCCTCGCAGCAAGCAGAACATCCCTTCTGGCTGTTTTTTTCGTGCTGGGTACTACCGTGGAAGCTGTGGATATTGCTGAAGACCTATTCAATTGACCAGAGACAACTAAATAAAAACAAACAAAAGGCAGACTTATAGCTGACTTTTTAGGTAATGAGTGCTGAGAAGTGCACTGTATGTACAGTTCAGTTACAGAGAGTGGACCGGGGCATGTGCAGCAGCTCTTGCGTTTCCTTCTTCATATTCTGCCTTCAGTTACTAGTCAAATATTCACAGAATCATAGAACGGTTTGCATTGGAAGGAACCTTAAAGCTCACCTCGTTCCACCCCCTGCCCTGGGCAGGGCCACCTCCCACCAGCCCAGGTTGTCCCAAGCCCCGTCCAACCTGGCCTTGAACACCTCCAGGGATGGGGCAGCCACAGCTCCTCAGGGCAATATTCTCTGAACACTGTTACATTACTTACTGGAGTAAAATATGTAGCCTAATATCTTTTGGCAGCTGAACCACATAAAGAAAACTATCTTGCGAGATAAACATCTGCTTGAATCGGGAGATGGTTACCTGCTTTACTGATAACCTAAAAAGATATGCCATATATGGTGCAGTATTTAGGTTTGGGTTCAGGCTACCTATGTAATATTTACACAAATTCTGTTTATATTTAATATATGCATAACTTAAACAGAACCAAAGAAGTCGCAAAGCCAGGAACTCAATCAGAGATATACTGTGAAATTGCACATGGGCCTTATTGTGGTTTTGAAGAAGTTGTTACATCTGTACACGGATAGAATTTTGGAGAATTTAATAGTGTGGATGTAGTCTGGTCTGGGCTAGGGAAACACAGACTCTGAAATTGATTTCATATCAGTCGCCAATCTTCCATTAAGAGCTGTGGTGGTGAAATTATTTGTACGACATCGGATGAGAAGTCTGCAGCGGACTAAGCAAGAGCTTAATTTTCAGAGTGTGAGCAGCCACTTGTAGTTCAAAGAATTATCTCACAAACTCCTAAAGGGAGACTTTAATAAAGCGATGTGTAGAGAAGGCTCCTGCCCATCTGTGGCCAACATGGTGTGACCACATTGTTGCAATTCAGTGGTGAAACAGGCATGGGCGCCTCATGGGGACTTTCACTATGTGGGTAGGGTTTGCACAATATTATTGCGGCCATACGTACAACAGGCAGCTTTATCCAGAAATGTTGGCAAATTCAGAATGGATGAGGACACAAAACCACAACACGCTTATTTTGAATGATGCAACAGAATTTTAATGAGAACGAAAAGAAGAAAAATACATTGCAATATCAAGAACGTATATGCAAGATGTCATTCAAATGCATTTTGAAAGACACTGTTAAATGTCCCACAGCATTCAGTCACAAGTATGATAAAGTAGACGATAACAAGGAACCCATGAAGACATCAAGAGAGAATTCAAAGTTTGAAAGGGAGAGGTGCAGAGCACGCAGAAGGCACCACACTGAACAGGATTTGTGAGCGCTTTGACAAAGCTGTCATTCATCTGCTCACTGGTGAATCTGCGATTTGTTTTGCCCTTCTACATTATTCAGTGGATTTTCCTGTTGTGTTTAGCAGGGCCCACAGATCCCACGGCTGTACCTGTTGGACCAGTAGGAGTAAGGGTTGCAGTTGCTAGAGCCATAGGATCTACCGTAGCCGTACAGACCCCCGTAACCCAGGGAGCCCCCATAGCCGTACAGACCCCCATAGCCCAGGGAGGAGCCGTAGCCCCCATAGCCCCACAGACCCCCGTAGCCCAGGGAGCCATAGCCCCCGTAGCCCCCAAGGACGGGTGCTCCAGAGGATCCCACAACCGAATCCTGGGGGAAGGAGCTGAGGATGGGGCCGGGGAAGGTGACGACGACTGGAGGTGGCTGGATCACAGTGGTGGAGTCTGGGCACTGACGAACACATGGCTCGTTGCAGCTGTCAGCGAGGGGCTGGGGGCGGTAGACGCCGCAGGCGGAGGTGGAGCACAGGTCGTAGCAAGCCATCTCGCAGGGATGGAGGTAAGCTGCAACACATGCCGGTGAGTAAATGAAAGGCACAAATTCATTCAGAAAAAGAGTTTGAAAGTTGGACAAGTTGACTAGAATAATGGCTTCATCTTTCAGGTCTCGATTGTCCTTCCTTCTCTTCAGTACTTCCCATGTCACATCGCTCTGTCTTGTAAATCAGCATTGCCGAGACTGCACTCTGAGCAGTCATCTCTTCTAATGGTCTTGTTCCTAGTTTCTCATACTTGGTCCCCTTTAAAAAGTAGTTCTTTGTTCTACCCCATTGTCAAGCACTGTGAAAATATTATCCAGTGCTTTACTTCGCAAATTACTTCCACTGTACTTTGCAGTCACCCTCACAATGCCTGTGCCTAAAAGGTTGTTTCATGTTTGTTTTATATTAGCAAAAACAAAGCTGTGTAACCTGACAACCAGCAAAACTCGTGCAGTAAATTAATGGGTACCTGGGAGAACAACTCTGCTATATTGACTTGTAACGTGCTTTCAGAAGTAGTAGCTAAAATCATGCTGCCAGTATGCCGAACCTGCTATAAACATGGATTAAATAAGGCATTCCTTGCCCTGAATTGCTTGCAAAGTAGCTTGAGAGTCACTGGGTGGGTGAAAAGATTATTTGATTTCCCAGACGGGAAACTGGTACACTCAGATAACTAGGTTTCTACTGCAGATAGGTACACTGGGATCTGAGACCTTCAGAAAGATTTTCACCATAGGATCTGATACTATCTAAAAGAAAACCCATAGAAGGACTAGGAATCAATACCACTTGTGAATATTTTTTTTCCCCACTAGAACGAATAAAATATTAGATTAGAAGAGGCTTCTGGACGTCATCTAGCCCAACTCCCTGCTCAAAGCAAGGACAATGTAAAGGGTAGGTTAGGATTTCCTAGTTTCATCTCTGTTGTCCAATACTTCTTTAGACGATACTTCTACATTCTTTCTGGTTAAGTTTTTCCCCTTAACAAATACATACATATACATAGACACATACAAAAAACTTACATGCAAAATCCTTAAAACTTTCCTGTCATCTAGTCCAACTCCCTGCTCAAAGCAAGGACAATGTAAAGGGTAGGTTAGGATTTCCTAGTTTCATCTCTGTTGTCCAATACTTCTTTAGATGATACTTCTACATTCTTTCTGGTTAAGTTTTTCCCCTTAACAAATACATACATATACATAGACACATACAAAAAACTTACATGCAAAATCCTTAAAACTTTCCTAGTGATTGAACAAGTTGCTGTTTTGGAAGCTGCTTTGATAGCTCAACTTTGTACTAACAGGAAACAACAATTTTTGAAAAACCTAGTCTTACCATTTTAAACCTGAATACATGGATGTCCAACACCAAATAAAAGAAATAAATTCATGGCACAATAATCCAACATTATTAAGAATCATGGAAAACTTATGCATGATTCCAACCTTGATTAAAACCAGCAGAAAAGAGGTACTAAAAGTTTAGGAAAGAGATTGCGTAGAGTGATACTTACCCTGTTCACGGAGGTGAATAAAGCAAGTAAGGTGGAATGAAGAGCCCTGAGTTGGGAGAGCTTTTATACAATTCCCTAGATCATGGGGATCACCTAAGGTGCAATTTGTGCATGTGCATAATTGGGGCAAACCCAAAACTAATATGACACGTAGGTCCTCAAAGTTTTGCTGACTATTTATTTGTTGGTTCGAAGTCTCGTGAAATAGGATAGGTGCATTTCATCACAGAAGCCTCTTTCATCTCGAATGGTTACATGTCATATTCATTCCTGTTATCATTCCATTCGCATCCTTGGCGTTACAACA